TTTGCAAATTGTTTACTTTGAAATTAATTAGAGATCTCGGTACTGATTTAGTTATTTTTTTCATAATAACTTAGACACTAAGAATCAGTTCATAATTTTTATTACAATGTTCTCATAATATGTGTACGTATATTGTGATTTGTTTTATTCAAATATATCGTTAATACAATCAGCCTATGGACCTAATATTCACTCTCAAACGGAGGAAGGAGACATTTTATTTAATTTGGCAACAAATTAAATAAGAAATGTAAATGAAAATAAATTGTAGCAGACTATATAATATAAAATACCTGATATATTGTAGCGTTGCCTAAGTATACTGAAGAAGACATCTCATCTGAATGGATGAGCTTAAAGAGAACATACTCGAAAGATCCCCCTTTTACCACGCTAATTTCTTTTCCTGACGCTAGGCACGAGCCCGGGGTTGTTTCCACATTAGTTCAGGTTAGTCCTAGGGAGTTGCGGCAACACTTCGATAAAAACCATTGGTGATTTGGTGGGATTAGAACCCGGACCTTAGGGACCGAAGTCCTCTAACCACTAGACCAGCTTGCTCCCCAACACCACCTATTCCAACGTTTGTATATCGTTAAGTTTACATACTATGTTGTTTGATACATGTAGGATTCTATAAATCACAATAAGTTGAATTTTTGGTTTTACACTGTAAAAAGTCTGAAGCACATAAATAAAACATTTTTTATAGCAGCTCATTTTGCTTGTGGTAGGTGAATTAATGTTTTAAGCTGGATAAAGCTTTGATGTAGAATTTTGAATGTATAGTTCCCAAATTAAAATATAAAAAAAACATAATTCATCGACTATTTTACTTGATTAAAGCGTTAAGCCGTGAATAAACCATCTTTCTAAAAGATTTGTCATATTTATAAATCGGTTGAAGGCAATAATTTTTATGTATGTTTATGTACAAGAAATGTAGTGGTCACTAAAGCACAATTTTGCAGAGATTATCTTGCTGAAAATCAGAAGTCTAAGTATCGACTAAAAACAGTCATTCCAAATTCAATTCATTAAAATGTTCTTTAATAATCAATCGGTTAACTAGTGGTTTTCCATAGTTTATTTGAAGAACCGCTTTCCCTCAAAAATGTTTAGTCCCTTAAAAAATGAAGTAAAATGTAGGTAGTAAGTTGCAGACTTTAGAATTGGATGAAACTGTTACATGATATGACATAAACATGAACATAATTCAAGGTAAATAGCTCCTCGCAATTCTATTTAAACATAATTAAATTTATAATAATCGTAAACCATGCAATCCAGGCTGGAATAGTTCAAACTGTTGAACCGAAGACAAAAGAGTTTCAACTAAAGGAAAACACCGCGGAAAGCCTAATTGAAGTGAAAATGGGGTTTAAGATAAAACCGTGTTAAATCCAACGAAAAGGGTTTAGACTCAACAGGTGGACTTAGTCTCAAACCAGGAAACGCTGAAAGAGTTAAATGTCGTGCAATAATAAGCGCAGAGCTGACGTGTATAAATAATGTGAGTTTTAAATGGATTAAAACTGGTGGCGAACGTTAAGGGGACAAGGGCGCGCACCCTAGTACCCCCCCTCAACCCCCCCCCCCCCCCACGGGGCGTTTGATAAATAAACTAGCATTGTGGTGGAGCAAGTGCACATCTGTCATGACTGGAACATGTGGCGAGAAGTGACGTGGACATGACCATAGGTTAAGTAGGGAATAATATGTTGGTTGTCTTGACTGTTAGAGCTTGAAGGTTTGGGGGGGGGGTCTAGTGGTAGGCGCAGGATTTGGTCCGTGAGGTCCTGGGTTCAAATCCCAACAAAATCACAAATAAATTGTCTCTAAATGATAATTGTCGCTACCTGCTTTGATCACGACCCTGTTAAAAATTGTAAAGAAATATCTTGCAAAGTTGATGTATTCGTGAAGTACTCAACTGTGCAAGAATGAAGACATCATGAAAATAATACTCTACATTGAATTATCGAAGCCGAAACGTTGCTGAATGAAATCTCTTCTTTTTATTGAAATGGTCAACACCTGAAGACCACGAATCTACAGAATGTGACCAAAAAAGCTAATCTACTCGATTCACTGAAGAACATTCGTGAAATGTGTAGAAAATATGAACTTACAGTTAAAGCTGATGAGTACGAGATCACCAAACAATATGTGAGTTCATTATAATTAATTAGTTTATTTACGTAAGTAATTAACTACTAATGATCGCTTAGGTAAAAGATCGAATAGGAAGGATGACGCAGTAAAACAACCCAAGTACTGCTGATGAAAACCCTTAAAATGATGTAAAATACCTCTTACAGTTATAAGTTATACATATTAGTGTTAACATAATAGATCATCATGTTACGAGCTAAAAAAAAGAAATAAACTAGCGTTGGAACCATCAAATCGGAACTTTAGGTTATTATTGTAATCACTCGATGATCCAAATGTCTTGGGCAGTATATTATAGGTCACAAGGGTTTTGAGCATACTGGAAAACTTAAAGTTTTTAAAAACCACAATCCCTAGTTTAACATTAGATAAAGATGGGAGACAAACATGTTTGGATGTTTTTGGTCCATTCTGAGCTTTGCTCCTAATAACCTGGCTGAAAATTTTACATTACCTACACAGGAATTAGTAAACCATGGAATTTGGGATGTCGTTAGATTCTTGCTAAATTATAGCCTAAGCTTTTACCGTAAAGCTATTCATCAACATACTATTATTATACATTTGCCTTTTCAAAAATACATATATATTCCATTCAGCATCGACAAATGCGTATTTTGATCCAACTCCTGACTAATAAACCACGATTCGCAAGTTGAAAAACTTAATGATTAATTCACCAACCCCAGCTAAGAGTGATTCTCGTTCAAAAATAGCATGTTGAAACGCAAAACATTATTCCAATCTTGATGAAGTCGTCAATAATCAAAATCAGAGATTGAATAGGAAATCGACAAACTTGGAGCGCTGTTTATACCGTCTGGCTGAAAAACATGGAATAAATCAAGTGAATCAAATATTCCAGTCTTAGTCAACATGTGCTGGCCCATTTGCCTTGGTTTTATCAATAACCGTCATCAGCATATTTTGGTTTCTTACGAGTCCAAATCATCACAAATAATAATTCTACCGGATTTTAGTACTACAAAAAACCACTCATTACATGGACGAGATCTATCAAATGTGTGAGATTTGATAAGTTTTCATTAGTACAGTGAGACATTTTAACGTATTATTGACTAATTTGTGGAAAAACTGATAAAGAGAGTTCAACTTTTTATTCATACCTCAAGACACAACAAAACATTTATTTTTCACTAATAAGTAAAACCCAATTTGCGAAGGTTTTGATGTCGAATATATATAAAATGTCAGTCATTCGAACCCACTGATCATAAAGCGTTACATAATTTAAATAATCAAATGTATCCAGCACATAAATACTTGGTGCTAAATGTACAAAGAACTGCATGGTTGATTGTTTTAAGGTATTAAATCAAATGTGTGGCAGCGTAAAATGTTAAATTTTAACATGTATTCATCAATATCAACATTTTAATGCAGTAGTATTTTGAGACTTATCCAAGCTAGAAAATCTAAATGAAAGTATTCTTACGGCAATATTAAGTTTCAACTGTATTGGCCCAAAGACAACATCATAGACGTTTTTTCATCATAAGCATATTCACTTTGATCTTAAAAGTTATTTTTATGTGTGGTTTAATATTTTGTAAGTACAGTAATGTAGTTTTGATTTGGAGGCTTGTTAAATGTATACGACTCAATACTAGTTTAATAGCAAGGTTAACCAATATGCTCATGTGAGTTACGGGAGCGATCTGGTGTAGTGGTAGAGAACGTGACTTCAGTCCCTAAAGTCTCTAGTTCAAATCCCAGCAAACACCAATTCCTTTAGCAGTAGTAAGATTCCACTACACGTATAGCATGAAGTAATGTAAAAAAAGGCTCCGAGCTCTGCCAGTGTTATAGAATGTAAATTTAGGAGATCAAAACCAAAAAATTTAAACATTATAATTTTAAACAATTTCCAAAAGGCAAATCCGATTACCCCCAAAAAACCCTGAGACACTCTTCACCGCAACAGTAATCAAATTAAGAACCACAAATCGGCGTTTCCACCGACTGCGCTAACCTTGATTTCCTTCGCCGCAGAAGCATCGGGGGTGCGTCCTGGGGGGGGAGGGGTGGCAATAATTGGATATGGTGGGCAACACATGTGCATTTGGCACTCTTTGTGCTAGGCTTATCATGCACTACGGCAATATGGCCCACTCCAACATATGCCGCGTTCGTATTCAATGTGCTTTAAACCGGGATTTGCTTCTAGTCAGTGTAATGGTTATGGATGCCGGTTAATTGTTCGAAGCTTAAGGGATTAGATGGTGCTTTAATCGGCGAGGTGTTTGGGAGTGTAAAGAATAGGTCGAGGATTAGGTTGAAGTATGAAATATGGTGTGATATGACACATGGTAGATTTTATGTTTTGTGTTAGGGGTGTGGGTTTTCAGGGAGAGATGGGAAAATGCATTTACGGACACAGGTGGCTAGACCCAGAGACTACCCACTAAAAACCTCCTCTACTATTCGGACACTAGCCTGGGAACTCTTCATCAGAACTAGGCCAAGTTAGCCTACGCCCGAAGGGCTTACACCGTGTCTAGCCATTCTAGATAATTCTTTTTTCACTTGAAGGATATTCCGGACTAAGTGTAACCAGTAGTCTCAGTTGTCCTCACCCTCCAGCGAGGTCTCACAAATCGATTTGACCGACAGCATTCCAAGATGTTGAGTGGCCTCTCGGTGGTGCATGTCCCATTGTGAACAGCGGAAGAAAGTGTGCTTTGGGTCGTCGGAATGCATGGACATTAAATAAAGTCAGGTGAATTCTTTAAGGAAAGGAACACTTCAACTGGTTGAGTTACTTGTGATTATCAATATTAGATAAGAACCTAGCAGATACTTACTGGGCTGCTGGGAAAAACTCGCTGTAGTGAAGAGCCCTGGAAAAAACAAATAGTAATCGTTAATATGTTTCACTTTCAAAATATTTTAAGTATACGATATTATTTACAAACTGCACAGAGAAAAGCTACTTCAAAGAGCTCTCACCATCGGCTACATCCAATTTACACCTTGAATTTACATGGATAAAAATATTCCCTTATATATTACTTATAGACATGATAAATCCTATTTTAGATGTATTTTGGGCACATTGTAACATTTTGCTCAGTACGAGAAAAAAATACAAACTTGACAAAAAAACACTCAAAGTTAGTTAGCCTAGGAATCCATATAAAACATGCCTAACATTTTACAATAGGACGAAGAGTCTAATTTCAGAATCAAATAGTTTGGTATCATAATGTTACGACATTTTATACAAACTTAGAAATTTTATAGATTATTTTATCAAACAAATTGTGTAGTGCTGCACACAGTAACTGTAATAGAAGTTCTTATGACGCACGACTATAACATTTTTTCATTGAAAACATAGTTCAATTAGGCCATAGCAATAATCACTCCAGATGGTATTGTATTTTAACAGGTGTTGAACATTGTAATTTCGACCACGTAAATTAACTATACACGTCAATGGGGAATGTATCATATAATAATTGTTGCGAATACCATTGAGACATCGTTAGCTCAACCATATGTTGGAACTAGATGAGTTAAAAGATGGATTTTGATTCATAACTTCATAAAACAAAAATTTAAAAAAAAATACGAAATGTTTTGGCGTCTATTTATCCATTAATACACCATGTCCGTGTATATTGTCAGTATAATATCGAGCAAACGAAGAAGTTACAGTAACGGATAAAAAACAGAAAACTATTAGAAGCTCTAGTAGTTAAGCTTGGTACTAAACAAACCCAAACCAAACCAGAGACGTAATATAATTATCATAGCGTACATAAAATCACACACCGTCGGATTATAATGCTTTTGATAAGGTACATCATCGAATCTCATTGAACTGAATCACACCATTTAGTGCCATACTGTCGAAATGTTTTGGTGATGTAAGATTTTAAATCCTCTGTAATAAAATAATATTGTTAATCACTTGCCACAAGACCGATAAACTGATTTAAAATCCTGGACAGCTACATAAAGCCACTAGATAAAGACGCGCCATTCTCGTAGTACAAAACTTATAAAACTAACCCAATAGCACCAACGACCAAACAAATCCTGTACGGAATGGATCATATTCTTTCTGTATAAGGACATTCAAAAACGCGTTCGGTGCTGTAGGACCTGTCAATGGAGTTACCAATTCACCTAAAAGTGTGAACAGTTTGATCAGCACGACTTAAATTGATATATTTTTTACATAGTGGACATAAAATATGAATCTAAATATTGACGTTGGTAATTGAAGTAGACTTCCATCAATATGGTCAGTTATATCCAGGTTACTCAGAAGGTACACGGTTGATTGAACTACTACGATTGTTCTATTTTCACTCTTAGTTTATCATTCAAAAAGCGAATTTGATGGGGACAAAACCGAAATAGTATTTTTAGTTTCCCTTCCGGATTAACGTGATTAAGAGGTTAGTGACTAATATAGAACACTTTTGCGTTGATATTATAAATTCTTATAAATATTATAAATTCACATTGGTTTTCTTCAGGTTTTTAAGCCAATTCATTGCGAATTACATCACGAAGTAAATAAGCTTTTAAGGTAATAAGAACGAACAGCAAATAATTAGAGTAAATTTAAAACTGCAGTACTCCCTGTAACCATTGAAACGACTCTCGATCCCTCAATAAACATTTATTGCACATCAAATCATTGAGATACTGTTACAACTCGCGATTTCCGATCGTATTGGTTGTGATTACCGGAAATCAGCGATCAATTCCTCAGCGATATTTAAATCAATCAATCGCCGTACCCGTCGGGAATGATTGCGATAAATGACGTGATTCGCAGTTCTTCCCTCAGACGGTTAAATCTCAATTTCAAAATCCGCCACTCACTTGAGCTTGCAATGTTGAGGCCTTGATGGATGATTTGGAATTTGCAGGGGGAACTGATTTGTGTTTAATTTCGAATTAGGTTACGATGGAAAAGGGGTTACGCTGAAATCAATTTTTGTGAACAAGAGGGTTTGCCGAGGCATTAGGAAACGAAGTAAAGTGTGTGTGACTTGCAAAAATACTGATTTTAAGACGTTTGAAACAATTTTCGTGACACAGTCTTTAGGCTTGCTTCAAGTGGTTTTTAATCAAATTTTGCAAATCACATTGAATAAACACTGGATCTCATGTTCACACGTTGCAAAAAATTGATAGACTCTGAAATGACTACGATTTTAATATTGTTGCAGTATTTTATAAATCTGGATATATCAGAAATCAATATTCACTTGTTTACATTGATGTTGTGGTTGAAGAGTATATCATTAGGTTGTTCACAAATTGCCTAATATAACACCTATTTTGTACAGCTTGACTATTTACAATTTCATCGATGGACCTGCTCATTAAAATATTTCTGTAGTTCAGTGATTTAGATACAGTAATGTCTTTTAATATTTATCATAAGTCATGTCCACTATTAATGTAGGGCCTTTGATTACTGGGTGTGTACTATAGGACTTTATAATATTTTAACAGAAATTATAGTTACTTCCCACAATACGAATTCAGTCATATAGATTGCCAAGCTATGCATACATTTTTTAATCCAAATAAATTACGCCTTCAACCACCAAAACTATCAATTTCGGGAAAAAATTTCCATCGCATTCTGTATTATCATGGGTTTTCTAAATGATTCTGCAAAGACTATTCAAATAACGCTTACAAACTATGTTTTTCTCTCAGCAACTCCTTACAGTTCCGTAAGATACTTTATTCTCCTAAAACTACGAGGTAACGAATACCCACGCCTTGCAGCTTATTACGAGTTCTTTCATGAGAATTCCGACTGTAAAAACAAAAGAAATTTTGAAAGTAAGCTTCCTTTGAAAGCATTAAGGGCAAAGAAACAATACGAGCTGGGAGCGGAAGGCAAGATTCTTTGTAGTTTGATATTTTATGACTCAACCTCCTGAGTTATGATAATGTTCTTGGCCAGCTTTGTGGAGCTGCCGCATATTCTAGGGGATGCGTCTTGCGAATTTATAGACTGTGACAAAGTTCAAGTTGTAAAATAAATCTTCTACTAATTTAAATATCTATAAACTCGCTGTATTCGGATTTATTTGAACTAGCTCGGATGATAATGGGAGATTTTAAAATTTAAAAGGTTATATTAGTTATAACCTTAAACACCGTGCTAAGGCAACAGACATTTAAACAGACGTGCTAGAAGCCGTTTTATTCGGTTTCTGGACATACCATAAACCATTATTAAGACGGAACACACACATACTTTCAGCCAGAAAAGCAGATAGTATAAATTTGTACTAAGTTTGGAATGCGCCCCTGTAAAGTTTGGTTTGCAGTTTACAGTAATTCAGTAGCTTACTGTATACGATGCTTAGACATCCCTCTAAAGGTGTACCACTCTCAAACTACTTATACAAGCTACTCTGCCAATGCTAGCAGAAGTTGTACTTACATAAACAATAGTTTTCAACTCATAAATTTATATTAAAATAGAATGAATTTGTGAATAACTTGATTACACGCATTGTAGTTAGGAGAAATAGATGTTGAAAGGTTGAACAAATGTTTAACACCAACTATCGCCAAGCCGTAAACAACTAAAGTCGTAAGCACTTCAGTTACAGTTTGTAGGACAAATCATTCTCTATACAGTTGATTGGTAAAGGAATGGATAACTTTTAGAGTAAAACGTAAATTTGCCTAATATTATCCAAAAATTTATTTCCCAAAAATAGTTATTTTATTTAAAATATGTTTCGCCCTGTTTAAAAAATAAAGAACACTTTCAGTAGTTTAATTAATACAGGAACCAGATTAATATATTAATTTTGAACAGTCATATATTTTTCTGGAAGTAGTTTTTGTTCATCATTTTCATAGCTTTCAGACACTTAGACAAACACTAATTGAGATAAGACCTTTTTTTAAGAGGTTGGCGGCCTCTTTTAACCTTGCATTTGCCCGTCCACATAGACTCTTATGCTATGTAATGTAAAAACAAACCTACACTCTAACTCTACTACTTATTGTATAGACCTTACTATAAAAAAAATAATAATGATAATTTCCTTTGTGTAAAATAATGTGATGGAAATAACAATGTAAAAATCATCAAAACAAACATTTATTATTGAAGCTATTTAGTGTGTGGAGGACGATATAAGTGCAAAATCAAGTATGAAGAATTTCTAACGAACCGACGTTAAAAAAAAAACCTCCAAGGTACTAACAGAGAAGTATTCCAGAAGCATATTCTACTAATCATGGTTTAATCACTTTTGAATCACCCCAGAGATCCATGTCTATATTGACGATTCCGCCCTCCAGAAATCGCCTCTGGAGACCGATCTTCCCCCGGGATATGAATCTTTTAAACGGAGTAGCGGATCGGATCGAACCTCTGTTTAAAGAGCACGACCAAAGAGCACCTGTTTTTGGGCACACATATGGCGAACATTGGGGATTAATTGAGAAAGGCCCCGCAGTGGGGGGGGGCTCTTCAATCGGGGCATCATCAGTACCATTGTGGGGGTGAAGTGGCCTCTCCAAAACTGAGTCATCGAAGCTGCCCTGTGCATTTATTATTTTTAGATTTTTTATATCGTTGTGTAAAAATTCTTCTTCGTATTTGTGGTGTATTTCATAAACATAATCAGAGCTGAGTGAATTATTCTGTTTTCCGAAATATGTGGATATTTTAGTTCAGCTATTGGGTAGGAATGTAGTTTGATCGGACCTATGATAATTAAATGTATGATAACCCTCGTACATCTTTTACATGGCGATTTTTACGCAGCTATTAAATTAATTTGATTGGACTTGTTAGGCCTGGTGGTAAGTTAAGGTAATATAGGTTCACATC